CCCCTCAGCGCTGGCGCCTGGGGGCCTCCCGCCTGCTTCCTGCGGGCCCTGGGCTGGGGGGAACGTCTGCTCCAAGCAGCCGGCTGAGTTCTCAGTTGCTCGGGGCGGGGAGGGGCGGTGACCTCATGAGCTGAAATCTCCAGCTCCATAATCGGTCCCCTGCGGGGCTTGGGGTCGTAGCGCAGAGCCAGGTGCAGCTGTGGCGAGCAACTGCTGCTGTTAGTCCTGGCCTGCGGCTGGATTCGAGTCCCGTTGCCCCGGGGTGCATGGGAAAGGTGGTCCCTAAATGCTTTGTTCCTTGAAAGAAATGGACTGATGGGTTGCGTGTACTGGAGCAGGATGGAGTTGATGGGAGATGGGAGCAATATGATGCCAAGTTACTATTAGTGGTGTTTCTGCAGTGACCTGTAGGCAGAAGGCAGGCAAAGTTTTGGGGGAGACAGATGATGAGTTAGTCTAATAAAATACTGTTTAGAAATAGTCATTGCAGCTTTCTGCTTCCTTGATGGCTACGACATTGTAGCTTTCCTTCTGAAAGTGGGTTTAAGGATTCAGAGAGACTTATGCATCAACATTGTGCTACTCTACACATACATGCTGCTGTTCAAAAAATGTGAACGTAGACACGCTGAGAAATAGGAATGTGGACTAAGTGGTTGTAATGCAAATGTTTATTGCTCTTTATGTAGAGCTTAGGGCGTGCAGGTATCGATCAGCTAAACTGATTAATGAGTTGCCTAGCTGTTAATGCATCTTGAATCAATTGCCATAAACGTTTAGGGATAACAGAGCTCTATGGCACGCGTCTAAGAAAACTGAGGTCAACAAAATTGTACTCCTTCTGACCTGCAGTAAGGGATTTGTGTCGCAAGAAGGGTTTGTATCACTGAAAAAAATTACTGAACAAGGGAACCTGAACTCAAGAGAGCTTGTGGTAGCTTCCATACTGGAAAAAAAAGGACGCATACTGAAGAAAGGATATCTGTTTTTGGAGTGACTTAACTGGCTTAACTTTCGTCTGTCATATACACTTGAAAACGAGAGGACACGATTCTGACTGCAGTAATGCATACTGTTCACTTGCACAGTTTCTAACTTGAATTTTGAGTCTGTTTCATGTATGTAGAAGTGACATCTAGCAGCACCTTGAAGGTTGGTATCTGGATATATGAAGCTAAATGTAAATATACCAAATAACAACGAAATGTGCTTATAATGAGATTAATATGGATGAATATGATAATTACATGGCAGCATTTACTCTTGAATGTAAACACTACCTATTTTTGCTAAGAATTGGTCTATCCTACTACTGCTGTTATCTTTGGAGTAATTTATAGATTAAGATCTCTCAAAGCCACCAATGCTTATTTAATGGAATGCAGTATTAAACTAACCATTCTTGCAGAATCATTAATAGATTTTTTTGCAGTCATTAGTAACACGTGGCTTGTGTTTCCATGGTCATGTTAATTTAGCTTCAAGTTAGTGCAGCTGTCTGAAAAGGGGTGGATGGGACATCCCTCCAGATCTTGGCCATTGGTTCCCATCTCTCCCTTGTGCTTGCACTAGTGTTCTATGGGCTGTAAAGGCAATCGTTGAGTTGAATTGAAATCTGACCAGGCTTGAAGTATGGCTATGCAAATACTCGTGCCTACACACAAAAGTTGAGAGGAGAACACGTTTTAATGATGTGATGGAAGCTTAGATTAGCTCCTTTGGTGATGTCAGATTAAATGGCCCTTAAAGTTAGGAAGCTTGACGTTTTTTATCTCACCTTGTGTCTAAAGGGGAATGAATGTCCAAGGGTGGTAATTGTGCATGAAATTCTTCATACATGCTTCCAGATATCAGTTCTTTATTTCTTTGAATAAATAAGCCAACTCCAGCTGTGCTGATTTCTGATTTGAAAACAAAAACCTCTCCCAAACTACACAACTTAGGTCCTTTAACTCAACAGGTAACAAATTTTGAAAGTGTTTTTAGCATCTCTTTCTATCTTACTCTCTACAAATCCTAGAAGAGTGATTAAACTGCATATTTTAAAAATTTGTATACTAGCTGTTTTAACAAGACTAAACCACATATACTTTTGAGCAGACTACTTGTGGCTTCTGCAGGAAAATATAAGAATCAACTGTTTCAGTTTGAAGGCTATTTTCCTTAGTAAACCATGTTTATTTTGAATCCACTATAGTACTTAGTCTAGTGAGGAGATCTGCCTATCTGGCTGCAACATAATTGCTTAATTATGCATTATAATTGCAATATTGCTTTTTGTTGTTGTTTGTTTATTTTTCTTTTCTTGCCTCTTTGGTAATTGTTTTTATTTGATAAACCTGTTATGTCCTTATATTGTCAGGTATGAACCAATTTGAAAAACCAACCATAAGAAATCAAACTTTTTTTTTAATTATCTGAAAGGAGTCTGTGTGTTGGAGGGGGGAGGTTTTGTTTTGTTTTTTCCCTCTCTTTCACCGCCTTTTGCTCAGGTCTATTTCTGAACTCTGAAGCTTGGTCAGGACCTACATCCTAAGTGTTAACATCTTTCTCCATGCATAGTATGGTTAACAAACTTCATGAAAGTTTCTCAACAAGCTGTTTTTTTGAAGGAATGTTATTATATCTTTGAGTGTTGAAGAGATTTCAGGTAGAAATAGTACTGAGGTTTTTCCTGTGCTCTTAGAGCTCAATTATTTTCCTGTTCAGAAGTTGGTACTGAGACTAGTGATTTTTTTTCCACCTGAATGAGCTAAGAAGAAAAAGCTGGGCAAACGCAGTTCTAGCTTGATATTATAAAAGAAAAGCAAGAACTCTACTGACTATTCTAAGCTAAAAGTGCAGCTTTTGTATTTGCATTGCAGAAAAGCATAAGATATTGTATTAAATGACCACTCTGGTGTTTGTTATGAGAGTGGAGTCTAATGAAATAGGTGTAGACTGTAGGCCAAATATCAGTCTAATAAATTGTTCTTAAGTTATGACAGCAAAATAACACGAGGAGTCCTGCTGA